TATATATATTGTATGTCCAAACGCCCATTTAAAATGCTTGGCCAAATATTAATTGTTGCTCAAAAGTACTTTTCAAATTGATTATCCAAACACAATCCGCTTCTGACCAGACTTTCTTTTTAAATACTTTTGAGAAAAATATTTTTCAAAATAAGCTGATTTTAGAAGTTTGTCCAAACATGCTATTTAAGTAGCGACAATTTAAGTTGTAATTAGAAGGTCTAATGATTGTATGTTACTCATGTTAATTTGCTTATCAGGTGCAATTAACCAAGTGACGAAGAACTTGGCTTGTGAGTGGGCTAAGGACAATATTCGCGTGAATGCTGTTGCACCACATATCATCAATACCTCGCTCATTGAAGCAGTATGCGTAAGTAGGAGTCTTTTTAAAAGAAAAATAACTTCAATTTTGTTCATACGAGCACTATAACAATATTGTTTATTGAACGGAAAATGTTCATATGCCCTCAAATATCTACTACTAATTGACATATCAATCAATAGAAATTCCCCAAGAAAATAAAGATTACCCCGCAAAGGGTTGGTTGAGTTGGTAGGGTGAGTGGTTTCCCACATGGGAGACCAGGGAATGATTCCCTCACCATTAGCCTCTTTAGTTAGAACTCGTCGCACCGGGCTCGCCTAGTGCGGTTTGCATCTCATGTGTCATTGCGAGCTATTGCACACAGTGAGCAAATTACCCGGGCTTGCCCTAGTGCGGTTTGCATCTCCTGTGTGGTTTGCGAGCTATTGCACAGTGAGCAAGTTACCTGGGCTTGCCTAGTGCGATTTGCATCTCCTGTATGGCTTGCGAGCTATTTCACAGTGAGCAAGTTACCCAATGTGCACACGAAGAATAGCGGCTGCGGGTTTCCCTGAAAAATTTCCAAAAATAAATAAATAATAGTTAGTTGATTTTGTGATGTTTATTAATTTCTCGATCTACTAACCAAAAAAGAGGATTGACAGTCATATTATGGAAAATAAAAACGACAATTACAGTCGGACCTCTCTATAACATCATTCGTATATAACAACATTTCACTATAAAAGCTAAGTTTGTCAGAACCTCTTTTTTATGTCATATTTTATCTCTCTATAAAAGTTTTTTACCTATAACAACAATTGTCGTCTTTATAACAATACACTTTCTGTAAACTTACTCCTCTATAACAGTCCTGCAAGTAGAATATCTAAGCTTACTATTAACAAGTTTAGAGATTGTAGAATATCTAAGCTTACTTATAACAAGTTTAGAGATTTTGACCATATATTTTGAAAATCTAATGCACCATTTATGACGAACAATATTATGTTAGTACATTCTTCCATAATTAAAGATTTCATTCAATTCCATTAAAAGATATGCTTATATATTTTAATTTTATTGCACAAAAATTCCTACCGTGCATAATATCTAATATTCGAGGATCTGCACATATCTTTTACCGAAAGTTTGAAGTTGAACACAAATATCTGTCAATTCAAGCGTTATATCCACAATAAGAAACAAGCTACAATTATGAGTTCTTCCAATTTTCAAATAGCTTTAAAATGTGCGTCTTAGAGTTTAAATCTTTGTACATTTAGTTATGAATTTACTAATAATTTATTAGCTTTATTTAATATTTAATTGGTGAAATATACATATCTTTTTAGTTTTTAAATTTAAATATTTTTTTTATATTTTATACGCGACATTAAAAAAGGAAAAAAAGAATTACTGACAATTTTTGCTTTAACAGCCAAATAATACTTAAACTTAAATATTGTTATAAGCGTATAATAGTCATTCAATATAAAATCCAAAAAATATCTGAACAAGCATGACTATTATAGAGAAATTTAACTATATTATACAAGAAGTTTTCAACACCATAGCTTTTTCATTATTATCCTTATTGTTATTGTTTTGGATTGCAGCAAGTCCCTAGTCAAAAGGAAAATATAGAAAGCTTAATTCGTCGGGCACCTATGAAACGAGCAGGAGAGCCGAGTGAAGTTGCGTCGATGGTTACATATCTATGTCTCCCAACTGCTTCTTATATCACTGGCCAGATTATTTGTGTAGATGGTGGATTTACAGTCAATGGTTTCGCGTAGAGACTTTAAGTTAAGAAGAGTTGACCAAAGTCAACATTTTGGATAAAAGATTTGGATTAGTGATTTGAATATTCAAATAGGTACGTATGGTTATTAGTAATAATATATGAACTTTGCATCTGCTTTTCTAAATATGTCAATGTTGTAGCTTGATCTGAAGCTTTTTATAAATTGTAATTGGCATGTTATATACATAGATGGCCCCTTATTCGTGTATTGTTGACATTTCTGCTCTAAAGATCGGTTGCTATATTTTCTTATATCTATGATGAAATGACAACGATGCTTGTAAGTGCTAGAAAGACAAAAAGGGAAAGGACTTGAAAAATCCATCTTAATTGTTAGGTATGTCGTTAAGCCTTGATTCATGTTACTTGTCTCATAGCCTAACCTCTCAACTTTTTTTTTGTGGATAAACTAGTTACTGTATAAAACAAAAAAATATTTACAGTGCTTGCATGTTCATGGGGCTGTCCAGATGACCAGCATTGTTTGGAAGAGTGTTAATAATATTATAACCCAAAGTTTTTCCACCAAATGTAGTTCCTAGTATGTCTGCCCACAAAGTATCATTGGCAAATCAAACACCGGAAAAACTACCAAAATTCAAGTCCCATAAAAAAGTTTCCTTTTTGCAACTTCCTTAGTTAGGAGATTTGTCACCTGGTTCTACTCCCTGAAGCTAAGGCTGATGACTGGATTCCCCCAATTGGACCATTAAGGACCTACATCAGAAATAATAGGGTCATAAGGCAGGTGTCTATCATTCAGCATTCTGATGACTTCCAATTAGTCGGTGTTTATGGTTAAGACGGTGAGTTTGGGTTCTGCTAGCTTAAGCCCTTGGAAAAGTGCATTTATGTCACGATCCCAGTTCGCCCTTCGTGAACTATCGTGACGGCACCTAGTCTCTACGACTAGGTAAGCCTAACAATGCGAAAAATAAATTAAACTTGCGGAATAAATAGTCAAAAGCCAAAAATAACTGAAGGAAACAATATTTAAATGCCGCTCGGCATATACACACAACTTCTCAGAATCTGATACACTATCCCAAAACCCGGAAACTTACGGATCCACAAGCTGAGAAAACACGACATAGCTCTAATCTCCGGAATGTCTAACAAGAACAAAAGTACAGAAGGGCTAGCTACTAAATGCAGGAATAGAAAGAGACTCCTCGGTCTGCGGACGCGGCAGATATACCTCGAAGTCCCGTAGAATCGCCTCGCCTCAAGAATGGTAAGCCTGAGTAGAGGTACCTGGATCTGCACATGAAAAACATGCGCAGGAAGGGCATGAGTACACCACAGCGGTACTCAGTAAGTGCCAAGCCTAACCTCGGTTGGGTAGTGACGAGGAAGGTCAGGGCCCTATTGAGATTAAATAAATATCAAGTGACAGGATAATATAAGCAGTGCAATTGAGAAATCTACAGTAAGAGCCTATACAGGGTAATAAAAGTACAATAACGGAAAAATAGGGGTAAAGGCAAACCACAAGGAACTACCATTCATAGCAAGGATGATAACCGGGGATCTCTTGGTATCCCGAGGATCTCTTGGTATCCTAAAAAATGTACGGGGAATCTCTTGGTATCCCGAGGATCTCTTGGTATCCCTAATATACGTGCCAGGGATCTCTTGGTATCGAGCACCTCAATCCAGATCATAAGTACTTGCAGGGGATCTCCCGGGATGCCGTCCCGTAGTCCCAAATTAAAACGCACAACAGCAACACAGGAATATTCAATAAATGCTAAATTTCGTACTAAGTAAACAGATAAGTCTAGCCTAACATGCTTCACGTAATGCAATTAAGGAAATTTAAGCAAATAGGCAATTAAGTCAACTAAACATGCTTTTCTAAACTAACAATGGGCTAAATACGCAAGTATAATGAAACAGGAGAAGGAACTCAATTGAAATACATAAAGAAAATCGGATTTTTAACAATTAGCTCAAGTACGCGCTCGTCACCTCACGTACGAGGCATTTCAATTACCACGATATTAATCCTAAGGGGAAGGGTCCCCCACACAAGGTTAGACAAGCCACTTACCTCGAACAAGTGCAAGTCAACCCGAAGCAACGCCTTTGCCATGAGTATCCGACTTCAAATGGCCCAAATCTATTCAATTCAATTTCATAATGTAAATAACACTTCAAATAACTGATTCTATAATTAAATTCTAAGCTAAGACGCGAAATTAGGTAAAATGACCAAAATACCCCTCAGGCCCGCATCTCGAAATCGGGTAAAATTTATATTTCCAGAATCCTCATACTCTCACGAGTTCAGGCATACCAAAATTATCCAAATCCAAGGTCAAATTCCCAATCAAAAGTCAATTTTAGGTCTAGGAACTTTCTTCCAACTTTTCCCCAATTTTCATCCCCAATCCGAATTTAAATGGTGAAATTAACTATAGATTGATAGAATATAACTAGAAAGGGTTAAAGAATCGTTACCCAATGATCTCCTCTTAAATTCCCTCTCAAAATCGTACTCTCCCGAGCTCCAAATCGATTTTTCAACTTTTGAAACAAAACCCTTGAAATCTCATATTTCTGCCCAGCTGTTTCCGCATCTGTGGTCCCGCTTCTGCGGAAACCACGTCGCATCTGCGACTTTCATTTAATTGCCCAGGAGCCGCATCTGCGATTTCCTTTTCGCAGATGCGAAACCGCATCTGCGGAATCTGAAGAAAACACCAGCATCCGCTTCTGCGGTCTCTACGCCGCTTCTGCGGCTCCGCACCTGCGGAACCCCAACCGCAGGTGCGGTTATGACAGGTACCAGCTAAAATCTGCAATCTCTCAACTTCAAAAATCTTTCCGTCAACCACCCGAAATCATCCCGAGGCCCTAGGGACCTCAACCAAAAGCACTAACATTACCTAATGCCTTATTCAAACTTGTACCGATCCTTAAACCACCTAAAACAACATCGAAACCTCAAATTAACCATGGATTTAAGCCTAAGAACTCCAAATTTCTCAAAAATACGCTTTCGATAAAAAACCCAACCAAAACATGTCCGAATGACCTGAAATTTTGCACACACATCCCAAATGACATGACGGAAGTACTGTAACTCTCGGAATTCCATTCCGACCCTCGGATCAAAATCTCACTATCGAACCGGAAACTTCAAAATTCGACCTTTCGGCATTTCAAGCCTAAATTAGCTACGAACCTCCAAAACACAATCCGACCATGCCCCTAAACCCGAAATCACCTAACAAAACCATCGAATTTCCATTCCGAGGCCGTCTTCACATTGTTCCAACTACGGTCAACTTTTCAACACTTATGCTCTCATTTAGGGACTAAGTGTCCCAAAACTCTCCGAAACTCAAAACCGAATATCCCGGCAAATCGAAATAGCAGAAATATACTTGGGGGAAGCAGTTAATAGGGGATCGGGGCGTAATTTCCAAAAACGACCGGCCGGGTCGTTACATCCTCCCACACTTAAACATCCGTTCATCCTCGAACGAGCACAAAGACATACCTGAAGTAGTGAAAAGATGAGGGTACTGGCTGCGCATATCCTGCTCGGCCTCCCAGGTCGCCTCCTCGGCCGGCTAACCCCGCCATTGAACCTTCACTGATGCAATGTTCTTTGACCTCAGCTTCCTGACCTGCTTGTCCAATATTCCCACTGGCTCCTCAGCATAAGATAGATCCTTTTCCAACTGGACTAAGCTGAAATCTAACACGTGCGACGGCTCACCGTGATACCTCCGGAGCATCGAAACATGAAAAATCGGATGAACTCCTGCCAAGCTGGGAGGTAAGGCAAGCTCGTAAGCAACCTCCCCAACACGCCTCAATATCTCAAAAGGGCCAATAAACCTCGGACTCAACTTCCCCTTCTTCCCAAATCTCATAACGCCCATTCATAGGCGAAACCCGAAGCAGAACCCGCTCTCCAACCATATAGGAAACATCAAGAACCTTCCGGTCCGTGTAACTCTTCTGTCTGGACTGGGCTGTACGGAGTCTATCCTGAATCACCTTGACTCTCTACAAAGCATCCTGGACCAAATCTGTGCCCAACAATCTGGCCTCACCTGGCTCGAACCAACCCACCGGAGATCTACATCGCCTACCATATAAGGCCTCGTACGGTGCCATCTGAATGCTGGACTGATAGCTGTTGTTGTAGGAAAACTCCGCCAATGGCAAGAACTGATCCCAAGAACCTCCAAACTCAATCACACACGCACGGAGCATATCCTCAAGAATCTGAATAGTGCGCTCGGACTGCCCGTCCGTCTGAGGGTGAAATGCTGTGCTCAACTCCACCCCGAGTACCCAACTCCTGCTATACGGCTCTCCAGAACCGCGATGTGAATTGAGTACCCCTGTCGGAAATGATGGAAACTAGAATACCATGCAGACGGACAATCTCCCGGATATAAACTCTCCGCCAACCACTCCGAGGAATAGGTAGTCAACACAGGGATGAAATGCGCGGACTTGGTCAGCCGATCCACACTAAACCCAAATCGGCATC